ATATGACCAGCTGTATCGTATATATGTATATATAATATTTATAATATAACTTAAAATAATATTGATATACAATGAATAATATATAATAATAAAATATAATATATTATTGATGAGATTTGACAATTGATGAAAAATAAAGTTCTTACAAATTCTAATGCATTCAACACCTCTATTAAGGGGTGCCATTAGCACTCTCCTAGGGAAATTACACGAGTAAAATGACATTCCCATTGGTTGATCAATTAAGGTGGCTATTAAGTAGCACTAGCCAGTCAAACACGTCTGAATTGATTGTCGGTATAATTCAAATAATTCAATGTCAATCAAACATTCACGAATTAATTTTATGTTTTATTTTATTATTATATGAGATAAATAACTAAAAAGTAAAATGATAATCGTGTATTTTCTTTTTGAAAAACAACATTAAAATAAAATCAAAATCAAAATCAAAAAGAGAAGGAACCATGAGAAAATGGAAGAGGTACTACTAATTCTAGAAGGAAACCAGTGGTCCAATTTCCCCCTTATCGACATGTTTTTCAATTTTGGCAGAATATACTTGTATTTTATTTTGAAGATACCAATAATTATTTATTTCAATTTTGGCAGATTATACTTGTATTTTATTTTAAAGCTATTAATAATTACCAATATATCATAAACAAATATTTTTCAAGAAGCAATTTTGATATATGATAAATAATCTAATAATAGATATTTTTTTATAAAAGATTTAGGTAAACAATTTAAAAAATTCTTTAAAGATATATATTTACGAGAAAGTAAATATACGTCTTATGCATTAAGACTTAAAAAGTTATGGTTATTATATCTTTTTTTACCAAAGGCGTTATTCAAAACGTATGCACTAAGAAATATTGAGCAACTTCATGCCTATATAAAATCTAAAATACTTCAAGTAAATACATGTATAATAAATGTAAATTTATATGTCGACCTTCCCAACCTAGCGAGCTCTCCCTTTCCAACCCATAACAAAGTGCACTTTTTTCCTCGAACCTAAATTAACCTTTTCTTTACATTTTCTTTTCCATTAATGGCAATGTAACAAGAATTCATTTTCATCTCAAGACATCTATCCATTTCCAAAAGCGGAACGAACCCCATCCCCTTTAATTAGTGGCGATCATCATATAGAAGTTTCATGTATCTTATTTGAGGGAGAGAGAGAGATGGTGAGAAAGCCCAAAAAAATATCTAAATCGAAACGTGTAATTCGATAAATACCCCTCTAGAAGTTGATTGTTGCTTTAGGTTAAATCCAATCACAATGGATGAAATCGAGATGTGGGCGGCAACAATTTTGCAAGAAGGCGAACCCCTCTACAATCATCTCCTAATTCGATTGGCACCACCACCATATTCTCCATACCTACTGTCACAACCACCATCATCACCGAAACATTTTTTTTTTCTATCAACATTTTTCACCTTGGTTTTTTCAATCTCTTTCCAATTAAGCTTTTTCAAATGGTCATGGCAAAGATCGGAGAGTGAGAGAGAACAACGGTTATTCAAGGAGGGAACATTTTGTGTATATATTATTTACGAGTAGAATATGTAAATTGATATCAATATGTTTTATTTAATCTTATTTTTTAAAACAAAATAAGAAAAAAAATATGTTTTATTTAACTATTTTGTAATAATCATAAAACATAGACAAAATTAAATCGTTTTTTTTTTAATAAGGAGGGAGGAGAACCTTCCAATCAAGGAAAAAAACACTAAAATGCAAAACAAAAAGCACTTGGATTGAAGCGAGTCCACAACCGCCAATATCAGCGTAAAAACCGAGGAGTAAAATTGTGATTTACTCATCACGTTGAAATCGTTGGTAAGCATTTTAAGGTTAAAGTATTTAATCTGATTAGCAACGTGTGGGAATCTTCGTAGACCTTCCATTTAAATAAGAATTGTGGCAAAGGGATCTGAACACAATTAACTGCCAGAAATTTTAATTGCTTCTGGTCATGGCCTCCTCTCTTCACGTGGTTTTGTTTCCCTTCATGGCCAAAGGCCACACCATCCCAGTCCTCCAACTAGCCCGTCTCTTCCTCCGCCGTAACGCCACCGTCACTCTCTTCACCACTCCTGCCAACCACCCTTTCGTCTCCGCCACTCTCTCCGACACACCCACCACCATCATCTCCCTCCCCTTCCCTCAAAACATCCCCGGCGTCCCCTCCGGCGTCGAGAGCACTGACAAACTCCCTTCCATGTCCCTCTTCCTCCCATTCGTCTCCTCCACAAAACTAATCGAACCCCACTTCGAACAAGCCCTTCAGTCCCTGCAAACTCCCGTCACCTTCATGGTCACCGACGGCTTCTTCGGCTGGACACTCGATTCAGCTAACAAATTCAATATCCCACGGCTAGTCTACTATGGCATGAGCAACTTCTCCGTCACCCTTTCTGCGCTCATATCCAACAACCCTAATCTCTTCGACGGCAAATCCGACACCGACCAAGTCACCGTCCCTGAATTCCCATGGATGAAGGTGGCCAGAATCGATTTCGGTGATGGGTTTAACAGAAATAATGATAGCAAAAACCCTTTAGCTGAATGGGTGATGGAGCAGATACTTGCAACCAGAAAAAGCTATGGTTTGGTTACCAACAGTTTCTTCGAGCTCGAACCAGTTTACACAGATTTCTGGAACTCAAACTTTCCACCAAAATCATGGTGCGTCGGTCCTTTCTGTTTTAGTCAAGAAATGGTGGAACCAAACACTTTGTCCGCACAAAAACCATCATGGATGGTTTGGCTGGATGAAAAACTTCAACTTGGAAGTCCGGTCTTATATGTGGCATTTGGGTCACAAGCCGAGATATCCATGGAACAAATCGAAGAGATCAAAATCGGACTAGAAAGATCTGAAGTCAATTTCTTTTGGGTAGTTAGAGGAAACAAAAGCACGTTTGATGATGGATTCGAGGAGAGAGTGAAGGGGAGGGGGATTGTGGTTCGAGAATGGGTGAATCAAAGAGAGATATTGAAGCATGAGAGTGTGAAGGGGTTTGTGAGTCATTGTGGATGGAACTCGGTGTTGGAGAGTATATGTGCGGCGGTGCCGATTGTAGCATGGCCGTTGATGGCGGAGCAGCCTCTGAATGCGAAATTTGTGGTGGAGGAAATGGAGATAGGGTCGAGGGTGGAGACATGTGATGGGAGTTTGAATGGTTTTGTCAAGTGGGAAGAATTGGAGAAAAGGGTGAGGGAGTTAATGGAAGGTGAAAAAGGGAAGGAGATGAGGAAGAAAGTGGAAGAGATAAGTCAGGCCGCCATGAAGGCGGTGGAAGACGGTGGTTCATCATGTCGGAATATGAATGAGCTGATTGAAGAGCTTCAAGCCAAGCAACTAATTATTAGTGAATAGTAGCAGAACACGTAATTGTGATAATATTGATGCATGCATCTGGAGGATAGTTGACTTCAAAAAAGTGAATAATGTGTGCATATTTTTGAACCATGCATTTCTGCTTATTTAAAATAATTTATATATTTTTTTATAAAAGTCTTTATGAATTTATTAAGTTAAAATAGTTTAGCTTCTTTAAAAACTTTTTATTATTGGTTTGACATTGATATAAGCTGTTTATTCAAACACTTAAAAATGTTTATTACCGGTGTCATACCGGAATAAGTCAATAAATTGTTTTTATAAGCAATCTAAAACACCCTAATGAAATATAAGGACTATTTTTTGGTCAAACAAAGTAGCGAAAAATCGGTAAAATAATAATAATGATCATTTCATAATCAGTTTTTAAACACCATAAAAATAAATGTCAAAATGATTTGAATTTAATGATAATACATAACAAGTTAAGGGGCTAAATGTAATAAGTTCAGAAATTTTTAGTACATGTTTGGTAAGTATAAGTATTTAGTTTTTTGAGCTTAACATATAAATAAATAAGAATGAATAAAAGTAGTTTATAAGATAGTTTATTTAGAGCATTTCTAACGGTTTTTATAAAATAAATAAAATCAACTTAATTTTTGTTTTTTATAATGCTTTCATGGTTTCCCTAACTTATTCTTTAAAATAGAGAAAATAACAAAGAAAACTCTCGATATAGAAATTTTCTAAAACTCTAACGAGAGGAGAGAAAAATGAGTTTTTTATTCGTTTCAGTGACGGTGTTGAAGTAAAATCATTTTATATAAAAAAATATAAAATGTATTGAAATCATAAATTTATAGAATATTTAATATAATTAATGATGAAAATTTTAAAATAGAGAAGTTTTTGGAGTTGATTTTAACTTTTACTGCTTTATCTATACTATATTATAAAGCATTTAGCTACAATTTTTAAAAACTCTTAAAACTCTTAAACTCGTTCATCCCTAAGTCCCTATCCGATTCCATCACATATCTGAATTCGTGTAACTAACTCCAGATAAACACAATATAATAAAAAAATTGAATTAAAAAATTACACAAAAAAATGAGGAATTTTAAATAGTTAATTTGATACGAATATCGATATATTTTTGTTATGCATAAAGTACTGTATATTGATGTATATTACTTAAAATTCAAGATTACAAGTAATTATGCATAAGTACAACTTATTAAAGCTCAATGTTTGAATTCGTATAAATAACTGAGGATAAACATAATCAAATAGAG